GTCTACGAGGCGGCCATTGGAATCCTTCATTCTCCCATGGGCTGCCGCTGGATCTGTCTTCTCACCTCGGCCCAGTCGCCGTCGGCCAATCGACTGTCGAGCCAAGCTGCTCGATCTGCTTTGACCGATGCCCCGATTTGCCCGGTCAATCTTTTCTCTCGCACGAAGTCCTTGTTTGCCCTCGCTTTACCTCGTAGCGAGATGAGCTGCAGCGTCCTGTCGCCGATCCAGGGGCGCCGCCGCGCGGCCAGGAGTGGGGGCAAGCAGCTTGCAGCAGCATGCCGGAAAGCCTTTTTGTGATGTTGCCGTTGAATTGGTTGAGAGAGTCCTGCGGCGCGCTGCTCTCAGCCATGTGCTCCGCGAAGCAGTCGCAGAAGTTCTGAGCCACGGTGACGTCGGTCAGGGCTGCCTGGTCCAACCGCTGCCCCCTGGTCTCGCGCAGCGCTTAGGATATTTCTTGTTCGCCATTGAGTAGAAACTGGTCCGAAGATAGGCTTGGTTCTCTGCGGCTCTCCACGTCCACCACGCTCTGCAGAAGATGCCGCGGGCATAACATAAAGTCGATCTGCCTGAAGTGCGCGACAGCAGCGGGTCGCAAGGGCGAGAACCGACGTTGTAGGAAGTCACCTGGTGATCTGGATCGTGCTCGAAGAATGTGTTTGCGATAGCCAGCCCACGGCAGACACAGAGTTCGAGTAAGAATCTCGGGTTAGAATCTGCATTCAAATGCGCCGCAGTCTCGCCAAAGTTGAAATCACCAATGTGGCCAGATTCCAAACGAAACCGCCGGTGTATCCTTGCGCTGAAGTTCCTCAATAACAAAGCCCAGCTGTGTCCCGGCGTTCTGGAGATCATTGCGCCCAGCTCTCGATAGAACTCGCAGCCATCCTCCTCCGGCTTCCCGCTGTGGGGGGCGTACACGCTGAAGATTTGTATTTTCCCTTTCTGGACACGCAACCTCAAACAAGCAACCCTGGAAGATATCATTTTGAATCATATCAGGCTCTGGGGTGCTGTTGGAGACACAATGAAGCCAACTCCCGTAGTATCTTCGTCGTCTGGGCTCCCAGACAAGATCACCAACAATCCACGCTCAGCGGCGTGATATCTTGACTCGTACTTGCGTGTCTCCTGATTGCGAGCACGTCGATGCCCAGCGATTCCATGTGAATCTGCAGCTCCTCCAGCTTGGCCTCCGCCAGGCCCTCGACATAGCAAGATCCAAAACCAAGATTGGTTCCAGTAGGTTGTAAACGTCCTCCACGGAAGCCTCGGTCTCTACATCCAGCCCCAAAAGATGTGTAACCTTCATTTCTTCGATGATATATGGATGCAGTGTCGTGCGGCCCACCTCGCAAGCCCAGGCCCCCACAGCCACTGCCAGAAGATGTCGTGCATGCATATGTGCATGTGGTCAGCGATGTTGCTGGCTGAATTCTTAAACGATTTGGGTTCACAATTGCAGTATTGCCCACTGCGGGTGCAACATCGTTGGCTTGATCTGATAGTCAACGGCGGGGGATATCCCGCCTGCCTCCCTTGTCGACCCCGCACGTCGCCCACTCCCCTTGCAAGTCGTAGCGCACGTTGTGGCCCTCCACCTCGACGGTAAGGGTGTGCTCCCATATCCGCGGGTGGAGAGAAGGGGACGTGTCCCACAAGTCGAGCCAGGAGTAAACCAGCTGGGTCCGAAGCCCTGTTCCTGGGTCTTTATCTCCAGGCCAAATCGCCAACGTGGCGGCGAGGCAGCGGCGGGGACCCGTTCCCGCAACGGAGTGGGCGACCTGCTGCGTCAGAGCGAAAATAGCCGATAGGGGCTAGGCCCGCGGCTTGATGGCTACGCTCGGACTGCGGCAAGGCCCTTTGGAGCGGCGTTAGCCAGCTTCGCATGGTGTCTCAGCTTGCAAATCCCAGTGCCTCTGAATCAGCCTTCCTGCAAGCGGCTCGGGGTTGTGACACGCGAGAGCCTCGTGCCACGCGCGGTGTCACACCCCAGATCCACCGCGGTCATCGGAGGTGAGGGGGTGAGATCGAAGTGGAACGGAGAGCCCCCCTACCGGGAAATCGGTTTCGGTTTCGTGTTCGTGCGTGCCGTGCGTGCGGGCGAGGCGAAGCTGCGTGGGCGGGCGGGAAGAAAGTCTCCTCCGGCTGAGGCGCGGCCGGACCAAATATTTCTTTTCCGGGGGCCGGTGGGGCGCGGTGTCCCGCCGGTGTCCCGCCTCCGGCTGAGGCGCGGCCGGACCAAATGTTTCCTTTCCGGAGGCCGGTGGGGCACGGTGTCCCGCCGGTGTCCCGTCGGTGCCCCGATGATGATGATGATGATGATGATGATGATGATGATGATGATGATGATGATGATGATGATGATGATGATGATGATGATGATGTCGACGATGTTGATGATGATGATGATGATGCAGATGATGATTATGATGATGGTGATGGTGGTGATGATGATGGTGTCCGGATGATGATGATCATGATGATGATGGTGTCCCGACGATGATGATGATGATGATGATGATGATGATGATGATGATGATGATGTTGATGATCACGATGATGTCGATGATGATGATGATAATGATGATGATGAGACGACGATGTTGATGATGATGATGATGATGTTGGCGTCCCGATCATGATGGTGATGATGATGATGATGGTGAGCATGATGATGGTGTCCCGATGATGAGGTTGATGATGGTGATGTTAATGATGATGATGATGGTGAGCATGATGATGGTGTCCCGATGATGATGATGCTGATGATGATGACGATGATGGTGTCCCGATGATGATGATGATGCTGATGATGATGATGTCGATGATGAGGAGGAGGATGAGGTGTTGATGATGGTGACGATGATGGTGTCCCGATGATGATGATGCTGATGATGATGATGAAGATGATGATAATGATGTTGGGGTCCCGATGATGGTGGTTATGATGAGGTTGATGATGATGCTGTTGATGATAATGATGGTGAGCATGATGCTGGTGTCCCGATGACGATGTTGATGATGGTGATGCTGATGATTGTGACGATGATGACGGTGTCCCGATGATGATGATGACGATGATGATGGTGATGATGATGATGCTGATGCTGATTTTGTTGATGAGAATGATGCTGCTCATGATGATGATGGTGTCCCGATGATGATGATGTGGATGATGTTGTTCATGATGGCGATTAAATGATGGTGATTGTGATGATCGTGGTGTCTCGATGCTGATAATGATGATGGTGATGGTGTCCCGATGATGATGTTGATGCTGATGGTGACGATGATGGTGTCCCGATGATGATGGTGATGATGATGGTGTTGATGATGATGGTGATGAGGTGGTGCTGATAACTATGGTGTCCCGATGATGATGATGTTGATGACGTTGGCGACGATGATGTTGATGATGATGATGATGATGATGATGATGATGATGGCGTTGATTGTGAGATCGATTGTGAGATTGATAGTGAGATCGGTAGTGATACCGAATGTGAGATCGTTTGTGAGATCGATAGTGAGATCGATAGTGAGATCGACTGTGAGATCGATAGTCAGATCGATGGTGAGATCGATCGAATGCAATAAATCGAGTAAGATCGATTGTGAGATCGATCGAATGAGATCGATCGAGCGAGACCGATAGTGAGATCGATAGTGAGATCGATAGTGAGACCGATCGAGTGAGACGTTGGTTCCTCCCCCCCCCAACCTCCTTATCACCCGAAGGGTGGTCGTATAGGTAATGAGAGTGGCTGGCATTCCCAGAGCACGCAGGGTGGCAAGAACGTCGGCGTCTAGGCAGGAGGAGGGCGTGATCGATCTGGCCTCGGACAGCATCGGGAGCTCCTGACGAGCGAACGACCCAGCGAAACACTCGGAGACGGCCGTCGAATGGGCCACCACATCGCCCCGCGCCCACTCCGACCTGGCGACCGCATCTTCCACAAAAGACAAAATGGCAGACGAGACTTGGCCTGCTGGAAAGAAAACTGGGAGCGGGCTTCTTGCCCAGTGGGCCGCGGGGAGACCGGAAAACCTCGGCCAACAAAAGCTCCCTTGAAAAGAGCCCACGGCCCGAGACCCGGCGGGGAACATGCCACTGCTTGCCACCACCTTGGGTTCGAGGGCCCTGGACGCTGAGGATAGCTGAGCCCTGGCTGAAGTGAAAACCGTGAGACATCCATCCCTCAGCGACATCTGCATGACTGGCGTAGTGTTAGGTCGGGCGTGCCCCCCTACAGGCGGATCTGGGGTGAAAAATGAAAAGGAGCTAGAACATATTTCCCAAATCCACAAAATCTCGTCCCCAGATGGTTTTGACTATCTTTGAATACCCCTCCTGTACAGGAACAGGCCCGACTTAAGCTTACTTATGGGGGCTTTTCAAGAGCGAGCAGCAGCACCGCCGCGCGGAAGCCTATAGATCGTGAGAGCGGCCTCGCCCACCGCGGCGGCCCGCTGCAGGGGCCGCCTCCGAGTGCGGGTGCGTCGCGGGCTCCGCAGTGCCCCGGCATTCGATGGGGGGAGGAGAAGAGGGAGGGAGGAGGAACGTCAGAGGAGGAGAAGGTTTTCATACCTCTACCTCCTCGCCCGTTTCCCCCTTTTTGGGTCTCCTGGGAGGCCCTCGTCGCCACCGCTGGCTTCGCCTCGAAGTCCTGGTCGGAACGCGCCCCGGGAGAGGTCCGGGGAGTAGCGGTATCAGTATTTTTGGGTTTCCCCAGGAACAGGGGAGGTGTGAGGAGGGACGCTTTGTGATGAAGGAGAGGCCGAAGGCGAAGGAGGCAGCCAGTGAGGCGGAAGAGGAGAGAAGAGGAAGGGACGGAGCAGGAGGGGGGGCGGAGGACAACCGAAAGCGGAGGGCGAGGAGGATGAGTGGGGGGAGAGGGAGGACGACGGTGGGTGATATGTAATTAGGAGGAGGAGGTGCATGGGGACGAGACCGAGAGAGGGACAGCGCATGCTCTCCACAAGCAGAACGCCGACAGGCGACTCCCCCGCGGGCGGCGGGTTGCGGCGAAGGCCGGGGCTGCCGACGGAGGGCGCGCAGGTGCACTACGACTGGCGCGTGGTGCCAGGCGGCGAGGGGGACGACGACCAGGAGTGGGGGGGGGAGGAGTCGGCGACACGTGGGAGCGACCTTTCGCCAACGTGGCCTTCGGTGCGGGCCCAAGGGGGCCCCCCGATCGCCGAATGCGATGCGATGCGGTAGGAGCGGCCTGCGCGCCTGGTGGTGTCCCCAAAGGGCCCCTCGTTGGGCCGCGCACCAAAGGTCACTCTTGCCCAGTGTCACTCTTCCGTGTAGCCGAAGGCGGGGGAGGGGGGTCAGGAGGAGGTACGGGCTTTGTTTCATGCGGTTCCAAAAGGGGCCTCAGGGAAAGGGACTTTTGAGGCGGGCGATGTTGATTCCTCAAGTCCGCTCGGCTTCGCCCACAAGGTCGCCGCATGACGCTTTCGCTCGCGCTTCTCGAAGTATCAGATGCAACGCCGCGGCCTAAGAAGACCCCTTTCACTGGCGTCCCTTTAGAAAGCGTACGGGGGTCCTGAGGATGAACGGCCTTCCTTGTCCATCATCACGCTGCTTTACTTTCCAGAGCTGGCCCTGCCGCACGGTGCTCGATGGCAGGGCTGGCTTGTCTGCCCGCTCGTCCGCGCGGGCCTGCTGACGCTTGAGGCGACGTGAACGTCTCTCAGCATGCCTAAGAAATAAGGAGGGGATCCTAAGTGAGGGCAAGAGGCTCCCCATGAAAGGGTCCTCAGGAAACGGGGTCCTGAAGGAGCGGGGTCCTCAGAGAAAGGGGTATCCAGTTGTATAGACATACATCATTTACACAGACATCTGTGTTGCATCTACGTGTGTGTATATATATATATATGTTTCGATCAATCGATCGATCTATATACGGACTCACGGGGCCCTACACGGGCCCTGGGGCCGTCAAAGCTGTTGAAGACGAGGAACTTGCCCCAGGAGGGAAAACTGGGGTCTAGGGCCTGTTGGCTCCACAGCTTTTTTCTCACAGGACCAAGAGCAGCAGGAAGGGTGGAGGAGGAAAAGGAAGGATGGATGGAAGGAGGGGAGACGGGGAGGAGTGCGGATGGAGCAGGAGGAGGAGGAGGAGGAGGAGAATGGAGGATGAGGAGCGATCAGGGTGGATGAGGAACGGAGAGGATGGAGGAGGGGGGAGGGAGGGAGGGAGGAAGGGAGGGAGGAACGAAGAGGGAGGATAGAGGAATGAAGAGGATTGGAGAAAGGACGAAGAAGATGGAGTAGGAGGAGGAGGAGGAGGAGAAGGAGCCAGAACCCAACCCGAGTCGTCAACGAAGATCCGGGCGCGGGACAAAAAACTAGACAACGCGGAACCAACGCCACCGAAACCGAGTCAGGGCAGTCGAGCGAGGATGCCAATAGGCCTGGACCGATGGGGGCTGACTGCGAGGGATTTCCCAGATTTCCGCCATCACAAGAGTTACTAAAAGGTTGAGCTCAAGCTTTGGGAGGAGGAGGGACGAGGACCTGGAGGCAGGGGGAGGTGGAGGAGAGGGTGGAGGACAAGGAGGAACGAGCATCGAGGAGGTAGAGGAGGAGGGAGGGAGAAACAAGAAGAGCAGAAGGAGGACAGAAAAGAGGGAGGTTGGGAAGATGATGAGGAGGAGGGCTAAGGACCAGGAGTCAGGAGAGCACGAGGAAGCAACATGGGCACAATCACCGAGGTGAGGGATTTCCGCGCACGCGAATCAGCCTCGTGTCAAATGCACGTTGTCGTGTTGGCGCGAGGGGGGGTGCAATTGTTATGTGTGGTTGCCGCTACGTTCTTTTGGCCAGGGGGGCGAGCATCACATCAAGACGTTGTTCGAACCTTTCTTCTGGCCAGGGTGGCGAGGACCACATCAAGCATATGACGTATGGTATGTGTCATTGTGGTTTAGCGTTTCGTTTGATCCAGGACGGTGCGGACGACATGGTCTTCGAGGAGGAGTACCCGACCAAGCTCCAGGAGTACTTCAACATCTTCTGCGACTACGTGTTTTGGATTCTGCTCGCATACTGCGCCTCGAACCTGCTGCTTTGGGGCGGGGAGAAGGCTGGACTCATATCGCCTCAGTACGAGGAATGGAGCCCGATTCGGTGGTGGCATAGCAACCCGCACGAGGTTCAGAAGGAGCTCTTCCAGAATGCCACCATGAACACGGGCACCTCCGAACAGTTTGACAGCCTCAAGAGGTGGATCGAGGGCGGCCCCGGCGGGTGGGTCAGCCCGAAGTTGTTTGTGTCGGAACTCGGGGGTCCCAAGCGATACGGTGATCACCATGCGCCTGTGAGCCAAAGGTGACCTGGGATCGGCGGGCCGTTTCGGAAGTTGGGTCATTATCCGGTGGCGTCTCGGGCGCCTACGGCTCCCAAAATCCCCAAGCCTTGCGGAGATTCACCGTTGGGTGAGGTCCTTGTGATTTCGAGGTCATCGCACGGTCTGTCAGCAGACGGTTCTGGGATCCCCTCGAGGACTATCTGAGCGAGCGGGGCCGCTATGACCGGCGGCTGGAGGTGCGCGAGCCTGTCGAAAAAGACGAGGTGTTGGTCAGGCTGCCGCTGTCCCACGTGTTGTCCGCCGACTTCTGCCAGCAGGATATCACCGACAGCACCATCCGCCAGGCAGGGCCAGTCACAACCGGAGGAGCTGTGGTCCTAGCACCCCTCTTGGGGCCCATCCGCTTCGGCACCGCGCTCGCTAGGTCGTCGATACGATGAGCTCTCACGGCGGGGTAGGGAGCGAAGTTCCCCCAGTTGTGACCGGTCGGCAGGTGGTTGACGCTCAGAAACGGAGCTCCGATCCCATCGACATCAATCCGTGGACATGGATCACATTGTACATGATCGCGCACGCGCGCAAGGGCGCATCGGGTGGCTCCAGCAGTACCCAGCGATTCGACAGCCTGCTGAAAGGGGAGTACATCGACGCGTCGCTATCGTACCTGCCAGTGTTCTGGGACGACGAGAATCTTCACTGGTTAAACGGCACCGACCTGCTCGACGTGCACGTGCTTGATGTGCATGCCGCGATCGAGACCGAGTATCACAAGCTGACGTACCTTGTCAGTTCCATCGAGAACGAGATCCCAATCATCGATTTCAAAAAATGGGCAATGGTGGTGATGTCGCGCGGCGAGACCGTCAACTTACCAGACCGCGAGAACAAGACCAGGACAGTCCCACAGCTCGCGATCATGCCCTTGATCGACCTCGTCGATCACCACCTGCCCATGCCAGAGCACCCGCTCTTCACCGACGACGACCTTCACAAGACCCAGGAGAGCGGGTCCCGCACCAACATCTCCTACAACACGGATCTCGCGGCCGTCGTCCTGAAAGCGCGCGAAAACATGGAGGGCAAGTCGGCCGTCACAGTCGGTTACGGGGTGCGCTCGAACGCGGACTACCTGCTGTACCACGGCTTCACGATGGGGCGAGAATGGAGCGATTTGACCTTGTGCACCCAGTATGCGACCATCGAGCTGCCCTTGCCGTCCGACCTCCCGACCTGGAAGTCCAGGTTTCTTGCGCACCCGTACCGCTTCGCCGTGCCAGCCTGCCCCAACCGCAAGTCGACGCCCCATGTCATCGTGGGCGCTGCCCGGTTCTTGGAGGCCACCGAGGACGACGTGGTCGATTTTGAGAAGATCCTGGCGAAGGACCCCAGCCTGGTCGACGGGCCAGTGGTGTCCAAGGAGGGCGGGTTCATGGCACACGGCGCACGGGAGGCGGTCGCCGCGGTCTGCGACACCACCGCGCAGCCGCCCGTGTGCCGGGCCCCGCTGTCGCTCACCAGCGAGCTGGCGGCCTGGGAGCTCATCCGGAAGCAGACCGTGGCGAGGGTGGCGAAGCACATCGGGTCCATCAAGGTCGGGCAGGCCCAGAGAAAGTCGAGAGGGGGCGGCCTTCGGGGAAGGCTCGGAAGTCCCCCAGCCTTCTGCGAAGTTGTCCGGGCCTTCCCCGAAGACACAGTGACCGTCGCAGAAGGCGCGCGGGCTTCTGAGAAGTCCCGCCGCCTTCTGAGAAGGCCTTCTCCTTCTTCACCCCTCGCTCGCCGCCGAGGAAGATAAGCCGTTCCATGGCGCTCAGGAACGCCTCTCGGAGCGTTCCCGTGCCCTGAAAAGGCCGCGGCGCTCGATACATCCATCAGGACCCCGAATTTTCAGAGATTCCCGCTTCGCCTCGATCCGAACTTTTCTTCATCCTGGCTTCGCCTGATAACCGAGGGAGGACAGACCACCCCGACCCCCACAACTGTTGTTTGCTGGCAAGCCCCTGGCGTCTACTCAGCAGTCGTGACCTGCTCGAGTCCTCCCTCGGGCGTGCTTACTAAAGCTTCGCTTGTAGTGGTGCTTATGATGAGGGTGATTCTTCTGCACTGTACAACTACTGTCAGGAACGTTTGCTCAGCGTGTCGCTACGCCGGCTCTGGCCCAGCTCGCTTCGGCGCGACACGCTAACCACTCCCCAGTCACCGAGCGTCACCGTCCTGAGCTTTTCCCAGCCTCCCGCCCCGCGGAGCGGGTCCGCTCGCAGGGCATAGCCTGTCGCCGGGGCCGCCGCTGCGACACGCTACACGAACGTTCCCGACCGTAGGTGCATTTACTAGAGGGCTTCCCCTGCAGGGGTGCTTACAGTATTCTGAGGGTGTTTTTTTTGCCCACCTGTATAAGGAGGACGAGCGCCTCCTCGACGACGACGACAAGCGGAACCACCTCACGGTCAACCAGAGGCACGCCGTGATCGCCCGGCGCGAGGAGAAGGCCACATCGCGGGTGTTTGTGCCGTCGGGAAGAGGGGCGCGCGCTACTCTGGAGGAAGATCGGCTGGAGAAGGGAGGCCCTGAGATCCTGGCGATGGAATTGTTTCACGCGGGGGGGGTTCGCCCAGTTCTGGGCCCAGGGACCATTACAGATCTATCTGTCTCGGAAAATATGTTTGAAAGAAACGGTTTAGGGCTCCGGTCCTCATGTTTCGAGATGCTACCTTCTTGTTCCAAACCGTCGTGTGGTGTTGGGTCCTCGTTTTGAATCCGCGGCGCCCCGCGTCACTCCTCACCTTCTCCCCCTCCTCTGTCCTCCCTCCTCGTCCATCTTTCGGCACACACACACACACCTCAGACGCTTCCTGGCCCCATAGAGAGCTCCACCGAAGTCCCCAGTAAGAGGGTTCGCATGGCGCCACCGCGCCGACTTCGGCACACCCCTCACATGTTTCGTGGCCCCATAGAGAGCTCCACAGAAAGCCCCAGTTGGAGGCTTCGCACGGCGCCAGTGCACCGATTCCGGCGCACCGCTGACGCGCTTCGTGACCCCAGAAGAGAGCTCCACAGAAGGCCATGCGGGAGGGTTCGCGTGGCGGCACCGCATCGATTTCGGCACACCCCTGACAGTTTCGTGGCCCCAGAAGGAGCTGTACCGAAGGCCCCAGCGGGAGGGATCGCAGGGCGACACCGCACCCATTTTGGTACATAACTGGCACGCTTCGCGGTCCCATATGGAAGAGCAGCACCGGCGGCTTCAAGGGAGGTTTCGCATGGCGCCACCGAGCCCATTTCGGCACACCCTTCACATCGTGGCCCCAGAAGGAGCTTTCCCGAAGGCCCCAGTGGGGCACCACCACGCCAATTTCGGAACATCCCTGACATGCTTCGTGGCCCCAAAGAGAGCTCCACAGAAGGCCCCAGTACGAGGGGTCGCATGGCGCCACCCCGCGCATTTCGTCACACCCCAGATTCGCTTCGTGGCCCCATAGAGAGCTCCACGGCCCCACTACGAGGGTTCGTATGGCGCCACCGCCGACTTCGGCCACCCCTCACGCGTTTCTCGTGGCCTCAGAGGGGGCCCCACCGAAGGCCTGTTGGAGGCTTCGCATGGCGCCAGCTCGCCGACGTCGGTACACTCTCTGACACGTCTCGTGGCTCCAGAGGGAGCTTTGAAGGCGCTAGCGGGAGGGTTCGCATGGCGCCACCGCGCCCATTTGGGCACACCGGTCTCCCGTTTCGGTTCCTCATATAGAGCTCCACCGACGGCCTTAGTGGGAGACTTCGCATGGCGCCGCCGCACCTGTTTTTGCACACCTGTCTCCCTCTCGTCGTGGCCCCATAGGAAGCTCCACCGACGTCCCTAGTGGGAGAGTTCGCATCGCGCAAACCCCTCACACGTTTCGCGGCCCCCCTCCTTCGTCTCACCTGCTTCGCGACTGCACATGGTTAGGTTCATCGCCAGGATATGATTCAACGTAGGATCTCAGGGAAGTCCAATGATGTCCTAGGTTCGGTCGGTTCGGTTCGGTCGGATGTTGTGTCGATACTACGTCGCCGCGCCCTTCAGTCTGCTTGCGGCCCGTCGGTTTCGATCGGATTCGGTTTCGCTCTCGGTTCGATCGGTGTTCGGTTGTGTTGCCGCCGTGAGCGTGAGGACCATGAGGCGATGGATATTACTGCTAGGGCCCTGACGTCTCCCAGATGTCATGACCCCCTCTTCTTCTGATGATTCGTCTTTTTCTTTCAAGACGTCCCCTGACCTCCTCCCCTTGCCCGCGCATGCGCCTCGGGCCATGATGCGGTAATGCCCGCCTTCTTGTCACCCATCTTTAGCGCACCCGAAGAGAGACGGAGGACAAAGGAAGGGAAGAAGAGAGCTGAAACGAGGGAGGGAGTGCGGGAGGAGGGAAACGAGGGACGAGGGAGGAGGAAGGAGGACAAAGGATGCAGGAAGGAGTAGGAGGAGGACGAGGAAGAGGAAGAGGACGAGGAGGAGGAGGAAGAAGAGGAGGAAGAAGAGCAGGATGATGAGGATGAGGAGCAGGAGGAGGAGGAGGAGGAGGAGGAGGAGGAGGAGGAGGAGGAGGAGGAGGAGGAGGAAGGGACAAGAACGAAAGAAGGAGGGTAGACAGGGGAAAGGAGACCGAGGATGGAGAAGGAGGAGGAGGATGTAGAAGAGGCGGATGAGGATGACGGAGAAGGAGGTGGAGGAGCAGGAGGAGGAGCAGGTGCAGGAGCAGGAGCAGCCTCTGGATACGGATAAGATTCTTCAAGGGTCTTCCCATAGCGCTCCAGAGTACCCAGGAGCTGTCCGCGGCGCTACATTATCCTTCTGGGACCGCCAGCTCCCAGAGATTCCTGAAGACTCGTTCCCGATGCTGTTACTGTCTTGCGCTCGTCTCAATGAGGAGGGAGAACGGAAAAACGAGGAAGGAGGCAGGAGAAGGGGAGAGGAAGGAGCAAGGAAGGACTAAGGAGGAAGGAGGACAGAGGAAGGAATCGCCGGGAAGGAGCACTGAGGGATGAATGGTTCAGATCCCCGACGCTTTGATCTGCTTCTCGGGCGTGGGCCCCCCGAGAGCTCGACCCTTTTTGTTCCCATCGCAACGAGGCCCAGCGGCAAGCTGACGAAACACGACTAAGAAGATTGCGACGGAGACGACAAAAAAGTGGCCCTCGGACGCCACAGCTATTGTCAAAGTGCTGTCGTGATGATTCCGCGGTGTGGGGTTGCCTGGGGGATGGGGGACGATGCACGGGAGCTTGCGGCCCAGGGCGGCCAGATCAGCAGTCGAGGCGCGAGGAGGAGGAGGAGGAAGAGGAGGAGGAGGAGGAGGAGGAGCAGGAGCAGGAGCAGGAGCAGGAGCAGGAGCAGGAGGAGCAGGAGAAGCAGGAGGAGGAGGAGCAGGAGGAGGAGGAGGAGGAGGAGGAGGAGAGGAGGAGGAGGAGGAGGAGGGGGGAGGAGGAGGAGGAGGAGGAGGAGGAGGAGGAGGAGGTCCGTAGCCATTTTGGCTCAAGTCCAGAGCCATTGTCAAGGTGGTTGGACAGTGAACCCAGAGTTGTCCAGGGTAGGAAGGTTCACGCCTCGCCCTGGCCTGCATTTGTTTGGTTTTGGATTTTCTCGCGCGCACCCAGACCAGCTGGCCCAAGCAGGCGGACGCTTGCTCTCGCACCACCAGTAGAGCCATTGTATGCCTGCCACATGGCGCTGCGGGAAATGCAGCAGAGAGGTGCCTATGAGGCATTGGCAGTGCTTGTGTGGCTACTAGTGGCGACAGCGGTCTTACAGTCGACAGCGGGCGAAATCGGCGAGCCGAAGCACACGAGAGCAACAACAGTCGACAGCCCAGCCGACCCCGCCATACCGACCTCGCCCGATTAAAGGACGCACTGGACCAATTACAAGAAACGAGATTCGACAAGTGGTGGACTCGATTCCTACGGCGTCAAAGGCAGTGGCGGAGGCGCACCCCAAGTATCAGCAGCCACCGCCCAGCAGAGCGCAACAGGATGCGTACAAGAACGACGTGAACCACCACATAGAGGTTCTTGCGACTTTGGTGGTGGCTACGCGGAGATCTGGTGCAGAGGATCAACCATCAATCGAGCACATTGTGGTCCTGAAGTATGCGATCGCAGCACTGGACCCAATCAGCACCAGAATGGCGCAAACCAAATACGAGATCGCGATGACCACAGAGCAGATTGAGAAGTTAGATCACAAGATCCAGGAGCTCCAGACGCAAAGAGAAGAGATGGCACAGAAAGTATCAGGGCGAATGGAAAATATGCAGGACCTGGAGGCCATGGAGGAGGAAGAGAAGACGATGAAGCAACAGGAGGCGGCGGCACACAACGTCACCCCACCGCCTGCAAGGCCAGCGGCGGCATCACCTTTCATGGCAACACACGGCATGGCAACGGGGCCATCAACTACGGCAAGGCCGACTCCACAGATCCCAGTCCAGAGCCCATTCGTTCCGCAGCAGCAGGGGATGAACCCCCCGGCCGAGATTCAGCAGCTCATGCAGATGTGGATGCAGCAGCAGGCGGCGCAGCTGGCCAAAGGAACGGGCAAAGGAGGGATGTTCATGCCATGGCTTTCTTCAGGACCTCCACCGCCATCGCAGATGCCACACCGCCCATCGCCGAGTCCAGGTGCGAAGAGAGAAGGGCCAATTCACCCGCCCAGCGAACAGCCTTGCCCCAAGCACCAGGTCGAGCAGCAGGCGAGCGAGGACGACAGGATGGTGGACGCGGATTTCAGCGGCCTGGTCTGCGAAGGCACCGCGGCCCCTTTGCCAGCATCGGCGATGGCATCAGCAGCATCGGCACCAGTTGGGGGAATTCTGACAGCGCAGCAGATCGCAGAACTCCAGAAGACGAACAACATGCAGCCGATCATGGTATCTCAATCGGGCCCGCCGCAGGCCCTGTACCAGCGGGGCGCCATCTGGGGACCGACGCAGATGTGGAGCAACCCGAACAGCCAGCAGCAGGTTATCTCTCTGTGCTCGCAGCCAGAGGCAGTCGCCTTCGTGGACCCAGCGCAGCTGGCACCAACGCAGCCAGCATCTCAGCAGGAGCTGATTCAGGGCCCGAAGGAGAGCCTCACGGACGACATCTGAACGACTCGGCCAGCGCGCAGCAGAAGGAGGAGCACTTGATGAGGGAAGACTCGATGCATGGGGCGTCGCCTTCCGTGTCGTCAACTCCTACCGCAGCTGCAGTGAATGAGCCCGCCCTATCTTTTCTGTTGCCAGACTTGCAGTCATTTTACGCTGGAGATGACCTAGGGGTTGAGGTCAACACCAGCAGCCAGCTGGCATGGATCGTCAGCAAACTGATTAGAAGGACCCTCGAGGCCACAGCCTTACGGGCAGCGTTTTTCATTTCGAATATTTACCAGGACACCCGGCCAGGGGGGAACGGCCCCCCTCCCCCGAAGAGGTACAGGGGGAAGAAGAATGTCTGCTGGGGAGTTTCACACATTAGATATTACGTCCCTGGTCATCGGATAGGGCAGGGCAGGCCGATAATTAAAGATCCAGGGATGCATAATTCGCAGTCGGCCCCCCAGGGCTCCGCAGGAGCCCCGCGCCCTTCCTCGAGCGCGCCCCCCCCCCCCCCCCCCCCCCCCCCCCCCACACGTTGGCTCACCCCCTGGGGAGATGGTGGTTCGTGCGTCGCCTTGCCCCCCCCCCCCTCCGCCCCCCCCCCCCCCTCTTGCCCCCCCCCCCCCCCCCATGTCCGCTAGAGAGAGAAGCGCTGCCCATCATCATGGAGGCCAAGAGGGCAACGTCATGAATAGTCATAGCCAGCTGGAGCAGCATGAAGGCGAGCAAGACAGCACGAGAAGTCACCTGTGCACGTTTGAAGCTTGCAAGCCGATCCTGGAGGTTATGTTGTCCTCCCCCGCTCCCCTCCTCGAACTGGTACCCCTGCAGAATATGATCCAAGCGGGAGTGATTGAGGACGTTCCCAGGATTGCGACTAACATGGCCCCTCCCAGACCCATAACCCCTTCTACCTTCCACATTTATCCTGATGGGTCCCACTGCGGGAAAGGAATGCCCCGCGCGGCATGGGCCTTCGTGGTCATAGCGGAAGGTGCGAAAGGTGTCTCTCTGTGGGGTTGCTGGAGGCGTGAACTCGAGGACTCGTGCTCCATGGGACTCAACATTGAAAATTCGAATAGCACGACTTTGGAGCTCCTTGGCCTTATTTGGGCTGCGTTGTGGGTTATCACGTGTCCTTTTGAGGCGGAGTTCCATGTCGTCGGCGATTCTCTCAGTGCGATACGTGCGGCCATTGGGCAGAGCTGCACGCGATCTGATAGAGATCTTGCGAGGCTCCTTTCGCAGATTTGGGCCGTTGCTTGCGCGCATAAGCGGGCGAGCATATCGCACGAGAAACGCCGCAACGGACATCGTTGGAACATGCTTGCTGGCAAGCTTGCTAAAGCCTCGGCGTGAAATAGCATTCCCCCCTCGAGCGTTCCCCCCCCCCCCCCCTTGGACGCAAGCGATTTTTTTCACATGCAGTCGCGAGTGGGAGTGGATTGAGGCTGCGCAAAGAGGGGACAAGGGGGATGGGGGCTTACCCCAAGGTCACCTTGGTTAGCCAAGGAAGCTTTTCAGGCGCCCTCCCCTCCTCTCAAGCGGTTACCACCCCGCTGGGCGCTCCTGAAAGGAAGCGCGCCAGGGGCCCCTTGATTAGATTGCGAACGGCAGCTTTCAATGCGCAGTCTCTCAGAGCCGACGGCAGAAGAGACACCAAGGGGAAGCAGAGACAGGCCCGCTTGCTCCTCTTTCAGGAACAGATGTATAAGGATGGGGCCCATTTTATCGGGGTCCAGGAAGGCCGAAACGCCCGAGGTACCCGCCGACAAAGTAACTTCATGGTTTTCTCGGCCGGCCACGAAAAATAGAATCTGGGGGTTGTGGGGGTTGAGCTTTGGGTGAACATATGCACCCCGTATAGCGAGAAAGGTGACAAGGCGTTATGTTTCAAAAAACTGCACATCCAGATCCTTCATATGACCCCACGCATCATGTTTGTGCAAATTGTGGCCCCCGCCTTACGGGCCACCGCTGCCGTCGCCCACGCTCCGCGCGCGGGAGCCCCCCCCTCCCCCCCTCGAGTGCCAAGCATTTTGGCGTGAGCTCGCTGAGTTAAATATGCGGTGGCTGCCAGGCTTTCTTTTCATTGACGCGAATGCTAGGCTTGGACCACACCAAAGCAAGGCGGTGTCGCCCAGCGGACCAGCGACAGAAGAAGACAGAAATGGGCGTTTCATGCATCAGACTGCGCTGGAGAGCGACCTCATTGTTGCGAACACTTACCGGTGCACGGGGGAAGGATACACGTATCACACGAGAAACGGGCCCCCCCACAGGATTGACTATGTTGCGATCTCCCCCCATTGGCCCCCTGCCCTCCAGGACGCCAAGATGTTAAAATATCTGGGCCATCTCAGGGGGCATAACGATCATATGCCCGTTGTTGCGTCATTCGAGTGGCATGCTGTTGGCAGTGGCAAATCCAACCACCCCCCCATGTTGGACAAGAATAAAATGAGCGACCCCCAGGCGTGCCAAGATTTTTCGGCCCAATTGCAAAAGGCTTCCCCCCCCCTGGGATCTTGACCTCAACCTCCACTACGCTCAGGCGTTGGATGTTTTGCGTAGCTGTTCCCAGGTTGCTTTCGGAAAAGCCTAGGTCAGACCCAGGAAACCTTATATTTCCCCCCCTACCTTTGTCTTGATCCGCGCCAGGAGGACGATTCGCAGGACCCTTTACTTGATGAGTTAACGCTGCCCGAGGTGGGTTTTTGCCCCATACCGAGCAACAGGCTGAGGATTTGACCAGTCCGCTGCAGGAGCACGGGATGCCCTCCCACCTCGTAGGCAGAGTCTTTCATTTAGCAGTCAGTCTCAGCAAGGGAGATTTCGCGCATGAGATCCAGCCCGGACAGAAGGCGGAGGCCAGCCTTCTCCTATTCCATCCCCTTTCCCATGTTTGGCCCCCCCTCCAGTCGGCCTCTGCCCAGTTTGTCAAGAAGAGCATTGATCTGTTTGAATTTAGGCTGCATCTGGTGTCTTTTATAGCGAGCACGCATGAGCAGTTGCAGAAGGCGCTCGATCATGACTTCAGTGCCTTTTTGATAAAACATGAGCAGCACACCAGAACCTCGATCGAAGGCAGGAACCGCAGGGCCGAATGGAGCCATGTGCGCACGTTGTTGAGCTTCGGAGGAAAAGACACAGGGCCCCTTTGGTGACCTCTATCAGGAGGAGCCCTGATGGATCCATAATTAGCAGCCCGCAAGAAGACGCTGACGATATGCAACAGCACTTTGCTAAGGTTGAGTCAGGGGTTGAGCTGTCACGAGAACGATTCCATTTGGACTACAATGCCAGCCAAGGGAAGATTGAAACTATCATCCCCAAAGCTGGGGTTGAGTTGTTGATCCGTCGGGCCCCCAAAGAAAAGGCCCCTGGTCCCGACGGGATCACGAACGATCTCCTGCGGGCGGCCCCCAAGGAAACCTCGCGCATCCTTCACCCCCTCATGGTGAAAATGAGCCTAACGGCCACTGAACCTGTTGAGCTCAGGCTTGGACAGGTGGTCTCTTTTTACAAAGGAAAAGGCGACGTCAGCATGGCGGCTTGCTACCGCAGCATTCTCCTATCTAACACCATCCTCAAATTGTACCATGCTCATGTCCGCTCCAAGGCTAAGAATATCATCTTTAGCACCTTGCGGGAGGAACAATGCGGTGGCCGCCCTGGAGTGGGGACTGATTTTGCTTGCCTGTACGTGCGCAATAGATTACACGTCATTGCGCTCCGGGAAAAGGCGGTCATCGTTCTGTTTCTCGACCTTGTTGCTGCCTTTTATTCCATGGCAAGGCAACTGGTCCTCGCCCCCCCCCCCCCCCCCCCCCCCCCCCCCCCCCCCCCCCCCCCGCGCGAGGAAGAGCAATTTTTTGCGGCGGCCTCGGACCTGCCGGTTCCTCTTGCGTTCCGAGATGCGATCTTGCAGCTTGCGGAGGACCCAACCCTGGACGCCTTGACCGAGGACCAACACCTGTTGGAGTTGGTTCGCGTCACCCAAGCTGGGTCGCGGTGGCAGTTTCGAGGATCCCAGAAATTTGTTGCCCCGACCCTTGGCACGAAGCCTGGTACGGTGTTTGCTTGTGACATTTTCAACGCCGCGTTTGCTCCGATCGTCCGAGGGATTCAAAGGGACATGGAGCAAAACCAGCTGATTTCGGAGCTTCCTGGATGCGAAGGTCCGTTCCTCGGAATCATGGACCCCGCGGCCCCGTTGGCTTCCCCCGCGCACGTCGACGACAATACCACGATTGGAGAAGTCGAAGATGCCAGCTTGGCCACCTGCGTGGCGGACAAAATGTTAGACATTGTGTATAAGCATGTGAGTGACCACGGTCTGAGGATGAATGACACGAAAACTGTTGTGCTGATTAAGACCGCGGGTAAAACATCCAGAATTGCCCAGCAACGCCTTTTTGGAGACAGCACTGGAGCGGGCGCTGTGGTTGTCTCAAGCGATCACGCGGTCAAGGTTCGCGTTGTGAGAACCTATAAGTTGCTCGGGACTTACCTCACCGATAAAATGAACCTCAACGCTGAGATTAACCACCGCGTGAGCTCCATGAGAGCTGATCTTCGGCCCATCAGGACGAGTATTTCCCCGCGTAAGGTCCTGCCTACCACCAGTAAGGTTAGGTATACCGATAGCATTGCGGGGTCTAAGCTGTTGTAGAATACGTGTGTTTGGGAAATGCTTAACAAGAGCCAACTGAGGAGAATGAGCACCGCCCAGGCCGATACGCGCCGAGCAGCGCTGGCTATGCCGAGGCACAAAGAAGGAAGACACCACCCGAATAGAGAAGTCCTGCATAACTCTCAGAGGGTGAGAATGGAGGTTGTTCTTAGGGTTGCCCGCCTCCGCTTGCTCCCTCGGGTTTTGTCGCTTGCCTCCTCTTCCCTCCTCCGCATCCTTGATCTCACTCGCAACGCGGCAGGGGCGTGGGCGAACGCCCTCATGCAGGACACGAAGTGGCTCAATACGCGGGTTAAGAAGGAAGGCGTCCCAGGAC